AGGATCACTCCTCACTTCATCCGTTTTTTAAGTCAGTAATCAACGTAAACTGTAGGATCATTCTTCACTTCATCCGTTTTTTAAGTCAGTAATCAACGTAAACTGTAGGATCATTCTTCACTTCATCCGTTTTTTAAGTCAGTAATCAACGTAAACTGTAGGATCACTCCTCACTTCATCCGTTTTTAAGTCAGTAATCAACGTAAACTGTAGGATCATTCTTCACTTCATCTGTTTTTAAGCCAGTAATCAACGCAAACAATATTTCGTTATAAGATATTATTCTATACCAGATGTAAACCTTATATTTATCCTTTACAGCTACCTTTGTTATGAGATCTTTAGCTCTTTAAAAATTCTCTTAAAAGCTGTAATGCTCGAATTGATTTAATCATAGATGTTATTTCATTATTCAAAACTAGAGATTTGCGTGTTAAAAACTTTTGCATTTCCAATAACACAAAACTAAAACCAAACAACAGATTATCACAAATAAGCATGGTAACTGTAAGTTTTGTACATCGTACTTTGATGTACGTTACTTATCAATCATTTGTAGAAAACTATTTAATCACGTATCTAAGGATGTTTAATTTGTAAGGCAGAAACTGTCGTGCATGCTTCGAACTTGTTTTTACCGCGGATTGAGAAACGCATATAATCACACATACTGGAGATTTTCAAGCGTTGGTTATCTTCACTGAAAACTAATTATACAAATGCAGAAAGGAGCTCACAATTTGTTAGAATACGTTCAAAGAATTAAACCCAAAAGAAAATTATCACCTGTTAAATTTAATCTATTTGAACAATGGAAATATTTTATAGCGCGTAGATTATGATTATCTCGTCATTTTCTATCATAACCTCAATTAATTTGGATAAATTATAGACAGACAGATAGGCAGAAGATCAATAGATAAACAGTAAGACAGGTAAGGAAATAGAGTAGTTTATATAAATATGGCATAAAAGAATCTACGACACATCAGATAACATTGCGATCATACTAGATGACATCGGTTTGAAGTTTTAATTTATAGAAAAAATAAGATATATTTGGTGTTTTTTTATAACTTTAATAACATTCAGAAAATGACCAAACTATTAAAAAATATCACATCTTTAACCGCTTTTCTAAGGTCACAGCATGTTTCCTACCTAAAAGTCACTTTATTTCCAGAATTATCTATGTAAAATGCCCGTCATTTGTTCTAATATATAATACATCTTAATGCGTACATAAATACCTTTAAATCTTTATTTTGTACATTAGGAAATAGGTTAGTCTTATTTCCAGTTTCATTGCACTTTTGAAGAGCGTATATACATACATATATATTTAGTAACATAAACAATACATGAATAAACTTTTTACGTGATTTATAGCTTTGGCACGTATTGGAATGTTACACTATGTAGTAATGCATTCGAAACTTCGAATTTACAAATTAAAAACAAAAACACGACAATATTTATTAACCACCAATAAATGAAACTTGTTGCTAACTAAATAAAAATATGAATTATCCTGAATATGTCTTATGATTTATTACTGGTCAGAAGTTGTGTACATGTTGCTGAAGGAGGGGTTGGGAAAAAAAAGTAATTATCTTTCCAATACTTTTCAGTGAAGAAGAAGAAGAAGAACAACAAAAAAATTAACTTATAAGTGCTAAGCCTTCCGTACCGTGAGACATAATTTATGAAGAATAATGCGTAAAATTTAAAATCATCTTTGAAGCCGAACACAATTATTGTGCCTACAAATTTTACAACTTGTTCTTCTCATAAAACGAAACTTGTACATTTTCCTCCCGAAGGTTTTGGCTGAGAACACTAGTTCATAGAGAAGACCACAAGTTCTGCTTTCTCCTCTATAATCTAACCAAGACTTCCGTTATTTCAAAACTGGTGCGTTGAATGGGTGGCAAGCAAATAGTGCTGTACCAACTGTACAAGCACCGTTCGCAAGAGCGGCGAACAGCGTGCGGCATCCTGTCTCTCCAGACGGGAGGCGGTGGGCTTGTCGCGGCAGCTCCTCCATTAGATCAGGTAGTGTATTATTAGGTAGGGAATTAGCGCCCGCTACTGTCGTCATCGCCTTCCGCCTCGATGAAAAGCTGTAAGTAGTGTTCGAGGTGAGCGCGACATAGCGCTGCTGATGTCGTTTGGTTCGAAACACCTAATATTTATTCGGTAACTTAACGTAAGTTTTCTCTAGATTCCATTTTCGTTTTCATGAATATCAATGGGAATTTTTAGATCAAGTTTTGTACGCAACAAGAAAGAAAACACCTAAACTTTCGGATAATGTCAGCTCAGCCGCTTTCTGAAGCCGTGGAAAATCAAGCCTGTTAGCTACGAAGGGAAGAAAGTTTCAGCCGTGGTAGTCGACCCTCGGGCTGGTTGGTGTCCTTCACTCGGTGAGTATAAACAGAAATGGAGCTTTTGTTGGCGATTAGCAACAGAGAAACTTTAAATAGTTTTGGCAGCAGGGAGTGGGTCTCACGTGGAGAATCTCTTCAAGATGCACCCTAATCCTACACCCTTGCTAGAAGTGGGGCGTCATCCCTTGAGTCAAAGGAACTGGGGTCACGAACTCGTATTTCGTAACATCTCACGTTAGATACCCACTGCGCGTGCCTGCTGTCAAGATATTCTGTGCAGACATAATATACTAAATAACCTGAGTGACTAGATGACGAGAGACAGCATGGACTAAATATTAAGCAACAATAAGCACCCCGATTATCCGGAACGGCAGCCCGCCAAAGTATTATCTTCCAGCTGAGCTCGACCTGTTTGTCGGCAGAATAAATTGGTTTTAATGCATGAATACCTAAAAAGAGAATTAGAATATCCGTAAAAAGTCATAATCATAATGCGTACCGCTATAATCCAGGAAGACTTTCTGTCATTAAGCATTATCTTAGTTTGTTTGTAAAATACAGTCACATGACTCAAATAGTCAAACGTAGTGTATGCAGCTATGTTAAAAATAAACGTCTAGAAATAAACTCCGTATTACAGGGCCTGTAATAAATAATCACCGTATTATGTGACTTCTTTAAATAAGCACCGTGTTACGTACGTTTCGAACGTGTGTACTCTTCTTGTCGAAACAATCATGTTCGTTAATTGGAATGCAGGCCCTCTACAACATGAAAATTATCCTTCTTTGTCTCAGAATATCTTGCTACGCAGTAGCACAGAAGCGTAAAATGCAGTTTGATTCTAATATAAATAAATGTTGTAGCTTTTGTTTGAAGTTAAGCACAAAGCTACACAGTGGGCTACCTGTGCTCTGCCCATCACGGGCATCAAAACCTGGTTTCTAGCGTTGTAACTTCGCAGGCATACCGCTGTGTAAGCAGTTGGCTTAGAGTTGTTTCTATCTATCTATTTGTCTGACTTTCTGTATATCTATCTGTCTGTTTATATGTCTAGCTTTCTATCTGTTTTTCTGTCTATCTGTCTGTCTATTTATACATCTATCTATCTGTTAACTGAGAATTATTAATGTTACTTTTACTTAAAGCTACTTTAGGGATGTAAAGAGAATACCGCCTAGAATGACAAGTTACATATTATATATAGCAGCTTCTAAGACTCCGAAAGCTTGCATACATGTTGTAAATACGCAAAGAAAAGTGCAATAGTTTGTATAAGTCATGTAAGTGCACAAAAGGTTGTAAGATTGCACGAGGACAAAACGTGAGTAAGTCAGTAGATAAAAACAAAAAAGGATAATACATGCGGAATCGGTCACAAGAAGAAGATCCCGGATATTAGAAAGAAACAATGAAGTATAAACGGAATTTTATGTAAGAAATAGATTAGAATTAGTGAATCACGTGCAAAATACTACAGATAGATTAGAATTAGTGAATCACGTGCAAAATACTACAGATAGATTAGAATTAGTGAATCACGTGCAAAATACTACAGATATAGTATAGAATCATTCAGAAGAAAGTGTTATGACTGTATGTTATGTATTTATAGCATAACCGAACATATCATCACCGAACTTCAGTAATTGAACTGGAGTGTAGCTGCATACGTTTCATGTTATTACGAACTTTACATTATCAGAAATTCTTAGTCGTATGCCGGGTACGCGGCTCGGCCCTGTTGTACACTTCTGGATTTCGTGGCTAGCGAGCCGGCTTCGATTTGATGCGATACCACAAAGATATTCATCACATTTTAGTCTTACGGATGCGTTACAAAAATGACAGTCCATACCTTAGCATGAACGTTTGGTGGTTGGGGGCTACTTTCTGGGTGCCTTTCTTCTGGTCAGTAGTTCAAAATTACGGACGGTGACTTTGTTATAAAACAAATTCCTCTTCGTACTAAGATTCTACGCTAGCTTTCATAACGCTGAAGTTGTATATTTAAAATATTAAAACGTTTCTTTTTCGCCATTTTTAGTTTTGACAAATAATATCTTTTTTTATTTTACTTCGTGTATTTTTATCATATATTATGTTCTTATTTATTTCTAAACCAGATCGATGTTGTTTTCACAAAAATAGTGGCTACTGTCATTATTACGTGAAAACACCTCAAAAATGACAAAATTATTACAAAAAAATTGTCAGTCAGTAGAAGTCCTCATCATATGTATATGAAAAAAACATACAAAAATCGCAGGACTACAACTGTTTTTGACATATAAACCGTGAGTTGGTAAATGTAATGAAAACTATAAAACGTTGAAACTTAGATTCATTATGAATACTCTGCCTAACCAATCTATCAAATATAAAACGTTATTTATGTATTAATTATAACTGCTAGTATAGTTAATAAGTTAATTATAACTGCCAGTATAGTTAATAAGTTAATTATAACTGTTAGTATAGTTAATAAGTTAATTATAACTGTTAGTATAGTTAATAAGTTAATTATAACTGTTAGTATA